ATCCACAATCAGTCCTTTCCTATTTCTCCTAGATACTTTACCATTCCTGGCACAATTTCGTCGTCCTTACATGCTTTTTTTGTTTTAATTATATTTTGGCTTCTTCCATTTCTTCTCTTGTTATCTCCAGTACGGTTTCCAATATTTAGTCTTTCTCTAAGTATTCTTCTGCCAGTTCGTCCCAAATGTTTATCTATGTTCTTTCCAAGTTTCTAATATTTTATTTTCACCGTTTTTAGTTGATAGTTTTAGAATTTTATTGCTCTTATTTATTTTCTTCTAATGCCTAGTCCAGAATGGTTATTTATTTTATATCCTTCGTTCAAACTACCTCCAAATGTTTCTCAGCTTTCTCTTGTCATTTTGAACCAAAATATACTTAAAAGGATTGGTGTAATATATACTTTGGGAATGGTTCGCTTGTATTTCTATTAAACTGTTCCGATACCTGATATTTTGCTTGAAAACTTGTTTTAAACTTGAGGAGTTAGTGAGCAACTCCGCAGTGCTCTAAATTTATAGTTTGTTTTGGTGGATATCTACGTTGAATATAGTAAATAAATAGCGGCACTTTTTATTGTAATTACTTGACGCTCATAATCACAAATGATAAAGAGAGTCAACACAACACATCATATAATATGTAATAAAGTGATAACAGAATGTAGAATTCCATTTTATCTGACTTTTTGCCCTCACCTTTTTATATAACCTCATGCGGACTTGGATTTAATTAAATCGATAATTTAAAAACAATACAGTGTCAAAAATTCCACCTCGTATGTTTACAATGTGTGTATGTAAATTTATAAAACAATAGACATACCAATAAACGATCAATGTATGGTAAACTAAGTCTATTATTCAAATTAAACTAACACTTTAATCAAATTACAATAAAGTTCTTTATACGTTTATATATAAAGGACAGTATTTGAAACTAATATTATGTCACCTTAAATAAATGAGTTTAATTTATTCTTTTCAAAAAGATGCACCAAAAATGCATTCTAGAACTGATATTTGGCAAGTGTTTTTATTTTTGTTTGATTTCATTCAACATTCATATATTTTTGTTCTTAGAATCGCTCTAGAACTCAAGAGGTTTTTTGTTCGCCATGAAAAATCGTAATGTGATTAACAATTTAATTGTTAATATATTTATTATTTAACTTTATATTATTTATGGAATAGAAGTATTTAGAAAAACAAAAATGAGAATATGACACATGGCAAGAAGTCTATTGACCTACAGATCCAAAATTGAATACTTTGTAAAAAACAAAGACAAAATTATGGCAACACAGACGGAATTTTTAAGAGGTTAGGAAGCATATGGATATGAACTCCAATATAACCGATTAAATAGATAAAAAAAACAAGCCTGAAAAGGATCGGAAAAGTAGACTCATGACGCTATAAACAAAGTTACAGAATGCAGTTTGATAAGAAGAAGAAAAAGAGGAGGATTGTATAAAGACGAAGTAAACGAGGCAATAGAATGAAGAAACCTGTAAGATGGAAATTATCCAACGGTCGAGAGAAGGAATACAGTGTAAAATGTGGAAATCTTTCCTACTAGTACTCTAAATACTTGGGAGTGACGTTGAAGGAAAAAGGGAACAAAGACAAATATATACTGCAAAAAGAGGTAGAAGAGCGACCGAAGCCAGCTAAACTCCTTATTGTATAGTACATATGAGAAAAACAAAAAATAAATTAATTTTATTCGTAGAGGAAATAGGTCCAAAAAGAAAAATACAGAAAGAAAGATCAAAGGAGTCTTAAGAAAAAGCATTTAATTTAAAACCGCAAACAGAACATATATTTAAGTAGACATATGCCTAAAATGGGGTTTGAATTGCGACATGGTCATGACACTGTAAAAAATTGTTTTATTAACCATCTATAGAACGAATCTGAAAAATCATGAAAAATGATTTGTATTTGTTTGCGCAGTTTAAGTTTTGTTTGCTAAGTTCATGAATGAAAGTGTAAAACACATTTTTACAACACTCGGTGATTGCTATTTGAATGCATTCGAAACAAGTGTTGCGCATATTGGCCGCCGCTATAAATAAATATTTTGAGCGAAACACTTGGAAGAGTTTATAAATTTTAATGAACATAAAGAAAAATTGGGAAAGTAGCCATTCTACTTTAGCAAAAATGCTATTAGCATTTTAAGACGAACCAAAGGTCATCCACCGAATTGCTCACATTGTCACAACTTTGTAACGTGTACCGTTCTGGAGAAAAGTGAAATTAGACACGTTCTACATTCTCACTATCGAATTTGAGAGCTGAAAGTATTTTATTCATAGTCCAATTTAACTTAGCCTATCATAGACAAAGCGATTCACAGGTGTCGAATAGTTATTTCGCAATGTCTAAACCGATCCTCAAATCACTTCCGAATAACTTAAACGGCTATATATATATATATATATATATATATATATATATATATATATATATATATATATATATAATTTATTTGAATTGACGGCCGTTTTCCTCTTTTTTTTTATATATTTCGTAATTACTTCGCAGTAATTAATTTTTCCCGGTGAAAAAGAACATCATATTCGGATTCAGCAATTTTGAATTGACAGGGGAAGCGTTAAAAAAATCCAGCACTACATTTAAGTCAAAAACTATATCAAACGATAAAATACACAGTAGAATCATCTATAAAATTCAGCTTTTATAATTGCAAATATTATCACGTAGAAACAATTTAAAAAATATTGCAGTAGTACAGAAAAAATGATGATATATGTCCTTGACCAATTAATCCTTCTAATTAATCTATAGAAATTAATATTGCATCATATCAATTGAGTATTAAAATTGATATTATACTCTAAAACAAAGTAAAAATCGTCTAGAACAAGACCGATAAAGTGGGCACTCGTTTATCTCAATAACATCATCTGGTTTGATAATAAAAAAGCAATTAAAAAATTGGCGACAGCACACGACTTTTAAGACAATTCAATTGATCATAGGAAAGGTCAGTGTTTGCGATTAAAAGAAATTCTTATCAAAAAGGATCTAGCCGAATATAAATGTCTAGAGTTACTTAAAAAACTGTTTATATTCAGCATAGCACCCAAATACAACAATTTTTTCGAACACCGGAAGACGCAAAATTTAATATCGATAGTTGGAGAAAGTTTTTAACGGTCTGATGGTTGTAATCAAGAGTTTTAAAACAGAGATTCACAATATAAAGTATATTATGAATCACAGTTATATTTCTTTAGGTTATAATTGAAATATATGAAAGTAAACCACTCGTTCTGATTTTTGTTTATAATAAGAATGTATTTTCTATCTGTTTATGTGTAGTAACTTAACATGTTCTTGTTGTGTTTTAGGCTGTCATTTTTTTCTATTGTTTACAACATTTTCTTATATTTTTATTAATGCATCCTAATGGCCTTCCAATATAATCTTATCAGCTATTGTCCACCAAAACATTTATTTAAACAACCAGCATTTCAAACCTTTTTTGATACACCTTGATCTAGGTTTATTTGTAGCGGAGACCACAATAATTCAAAACATCTAATGTGGCGCTCTAGACTTAATAATACCGTTAACTGCAAAAAGAAATACTAATATATAAGCTAAACATAATGTCGAGTCAACATACTCGCCTACAGACGCTGCGAAAATTCCAGATGTTCTCTATTTTGCTGTAGTGAAAGGAATAAACGAAAAATATTTTAGAACAAAGTTTAATAAAAAATCCTTTCAAGGTATAAATGTTTAAAGATACCAAATTTATGAGTAAAAACCCTTTAAATGTCATTAAATTGTTATTAAATTACTACAAGATTGCTGCTAATGTTATAGGATGTTTAAAATTCAAGCAGACTCACTTCATGAAACAGTAGGAACAAAAACAGGAAAATGGTCGAAAAGTCAACTAGAAAAAGCCGATACATTTGCTGCTCCCCTTAAAAAAGTTTTTACGCCAAATGACAGGAACATGCGCTAGAAACTACAGATGAAATTACACAATTATTTAACTCTAATGGGATTAGGTCATTTCTTTCACACTGGAAATTAGCACAGATAACAAGAATACTAAAACTAGGAAACAGAAAATGGACAATCCTACCGTCCTATTAGTCTAAGTCTAGAAAACAAAAACTAATACCATCACACAATTTCGGTTCATAAAAAAAGATTCATACATATATAGATACTAAAAGTGTATCCGAATATGTTTGCGATTAAGCCGAATATAGTTCGAACGTTAAACGAAAAATTCCGAGTTAATTTATTAATACTAAATGCGTGTAGATATGTGTCAAATATAGTCAATATTGAAGTTTAAAAAGAGGTACTCTCTGCATGTCATAATACTTTAATTGTCAGTCCTATTAAGTACTTAATGTCTATTATCTACCTAAACATTTAGGATGAGATTGTATAGATATATTGCAATAAAAGTGGGGATAATAAAAAAACATTTCAGAATATTTTAAGAATAATAATTATAAAATCATTTAGCAACAAAATGTTGACCTTTAATATAAAAACTGATTACAAATAAAGATTTTAATATTAAATCGGACCATGTAATTATTATCTTTTCAATAGAAAACACCTACCTACAAATGAGCAAAAATAATAAACCTGAACTTTGTATTAAACACATTAAAAAGTAATGTTAATAACAATCAAGCTCTCACGTTGTCATCTGTCTATCTAGATTATTGTAACCGATTAAAAACAATCACATAACAATTTTTTGGAGTAAAGACAACATAAAAAGAATTTTTACCTCCCAAAGATTAAATAAGAAAATTAATAAATTAGTACAAATAACTGGGTACAGACTATAAATTATTATGATTGCTATTCAAACTTGGAAATGCTACCAGTAAAACAGTTTTTGTTTGGGATGTCACTAAGAGACAAAAAATATCGGGATCACCATACTATTGTATTGATAACAAATGGAGAGTTTAATAAAATGTTTTTAAAAAGAGAATTGAGAAGAGAAAAAAGAGAATGCCAGAAAACTACAGAGGTATAAACTTGTTAATAACTACGCTAAAACTTTTACAAGTGCTAATAAATCAGAGGATAAGTTTAGCACATGAACAACAGGGTTTTCGTAGTGGAAAATCGTGTACAGATGCAATATTCGTTATAAAGGAAATTGCTGAGAAATCACTAGAGTATAATAGACCAGCATTTCTGTGTCTGATTGACCTAAGGAAAGCGTTTGATAGAGTAAGACTCAAAGATGTAATCCATCTTCTGTATAATAGAGAAGCTCCCCTAAATATTATTAAAACTATCGAAAACATCTAACAAAACAACAAAATGGAAGTCAGAAGTAAGACCAATAATGACATATGCCTCAGAAACAAGACCAGGCACAACCACAACGTAAAGGCTACTGGAAACTGCAGAGATGAGAGTACTGAGAAGAATTACAGGAAATAGGCTGGGAGATCGAAAGAGAAGTGAAGACATTAGAAGAAAATGTAAGGTACAGTGTATAAATGAATGGACAAAAAAAAAGAATGGAATAACCACATAAGCAGAATGTGCTCGTGAAAATAGCAAGAAATAAGTCACCAATCGGCAGAAGTATCGGACGACCTCACAAAAGATGGAGTGACAACCTTCCATAGAGGTATTAATCTGTCAATGAACAAGCAGAATTGCATATAAAAAGGAAGAAAAAAGAAGAAGAATAAAAAGAGAATTATGGATATTTTTCGAAAATTAAGAACTATTTGGTATACGCAATTTAGGACAGAAAAGTTAACAAAAAATACTTCACAAAATATTTATGACACATGAATGATGAAGTAACGTTAGAAATATTGAATTTGATATTATGGTATAAACCAAATGATGAAAATAAACGAGTTTTCATTATAGAAATAAACACGGTGAATCGAAGTTGTACGCCAGAAACGAAAAAAAAAAACAGTTACATAAAACCTTTACTATAATTAGAGTAAGCAATTAGAAAACTCAGATAACATTTTTAAATAAAAATAGCAACCATAACCTGATCAAATAAATAAATTTAAAAAGATGTAGGTAAATCTTATTTTAAAATAAATACCGTAAATTATGTACATTACTGATATCTGTATACTGTAACATACCCTCTTTCATCAATGTCCAAGCTACCACGGTTGCCCATGAGATTTGATTAAGCTTGTTTTCACACAGAAAGTTTGGTACAACGCAACGATCAAAGTTGTTTTAAAAAAGTGAAGAAGAAGCACTTTATTTATACTCAACAGTCACTGTATTAAGTAAGAAAAAAACAATATCAACATAAATCGTCACGTTGTTACCAATTAAAAATCTTAAAATACTGTCAAGATACCCCTTCCATTATTACTATTAACTAATGTTTTGCTTATATCGTGTTGATTTTTAAAATATTGCACAATGTCTCCTGATTGTGATTTAGAAAACACATGTACTGAGATTCTATTATTTCTAGACATAGATACCAAATCTCTTCATTCTGATTTGTGCGAATCATCATACGATTTTACGGTGTGGCCTGATAGAAGGCCACAGAAGGTAAGAGTCTAGATCGATCAAATTACCGTTTTGTAATTTAATTTTTTTGCGAATACACCGTTCAAGATGAGTAACTGTCATTAATTTTTTTGTCATTAATGTTGTGATATTTACCTGTAATCTAATTAGTCAAAAAAATATGTTTTCTATATTTCATTACTGGCTTAACGTTTTATTTTTTATTTTTAAGGGAATGCATATTCCAAGAGCAGACAAACGTAGTAAAGGGAGACCATCTTCACGTTGGGCTGACGACATCAGGCGTATCACCAAAAATTGCAAACAAAGAGCACAAAATCGCAAACATTGGAGGAGTTTAAGGGAGACCTATATCTAGCAGTGGACGTGATAATGAAGGCTGGATGATGATGATGGTATTTCAATAATAGGGGATGTGAGACTATTATGAAGAGGATTTATTAAACTAAAGAAAATCTGCCAAATTTATTACCGAAGTTCAAAACAAGTTACCTTCATAAAAAGGGGAGTAAACCTACAGTGGTACTACTCTGGTCATGTAACAAGGAGATATGAAGACATGTTGAATACTGTGGTAATAAAACCGTATCCGGGTCGAACACTATCTCCTATGGAAGCAGTGATATCTTCAACACAAATTCCAGATTTAAAAAGGCAACAACCACCAGAAACAAACAACCAACTTTCCAGAGCATTTTACGAAGATACTTTCATTTCGTATAATATCGATTGAAAAAAACTGAAAGAATGACAATATAAAACTTAATTGAAATTATAATATTTACTTACAGTTGCCTTGAACCGTTATGCAAGACAAGTTAACATACCAGACAAACCAATAAGTTGAAATTGATATGAAATTACAGTATAGTAAAAAAGAAATATAAGACAAACGAGAGCACATAGTCCAAGAGATCATATGTCCAAAAATAGAACTTTCGCAAAAAGCTGTCATATAAACCTAACTCGTGCTATCTGGACAACTCATCTGGACTCTGAATTCACAACTTTCGCCAAGTATCTCGTTGGGAGTAAACCATTAATTAGAAAACTCTTTTTTGAAGGGTAATGAATTATTACGTTTATTTGATGTCAAATCTGTTGTGAGTTTCTTATCAAACGAGACAAAATCTACAAAATTGGTAGGTAAAATATAACTGTATACATATCAAAAGGCTTTAATATATATTTATATGAAGATCTAACATAACTGAACTAAAAATGATAAATTACAATCGTTGTTTCTAACGTCAACCAATAAAAAAATATGTTTAATTAAATACGTATGGCCATTATCAAACCAAAACTTTTTTGATATAATTAAAAATATTTTTAAAAATACCAAGTCTTGAGCAACAATGGCCAGATCACTATTATTTTATTTATATCCAAATGGCGGAAAGGATTGGCCAATACCTGTTTTTGCTTGCTTTAGATTGCCGGGTAACAAAGTGGTGTGATGTTGAGCTTCATTAATATTTATTGCATCATCTGATTAGTCAACAGAACTTATTAGGTTAAAGATCTTATGTTTATAATGTTAAATATTTAATTATGTGTGTTTATGTTTCAGACGGATATATTTTGTTAAAATTTAAAAATAAAATGCAAGCGGAAGATATTTAGCACAGGTTTTTTCCTAAACATGATAAATATTTAGAATATCGTATCAGCAGCAATTCTATCAATGAAACCTATATAAATACGTGTTTTATCAGAGTTTTTCATTTTCAATACACAAAAAAACAGAACATTAGCAAATAATACGACGACAAGACAAGAAATTATAATAAAGAGAAATATGCATAAAAAGATCCTGTTTCGGACTGTGACAAATCCAGGTATCTGAATTTTTCAGTTATGGGCCTATATATAGAAAACCTACACGTTTTTTGTAGATATTTCGGCGTCTTTTTTAATTATCAACAATTTAGTATAAAAAATGTAATTTTTCAGTTTTTTTTGTTATCATTAAAAAGCTTACTATTTGAGATAAAATGACAAATCTTTATTTTTTTAAAACATAAAACGTTAGAATTAATTTGTTGCTTCGAAACCTGCAAAATAAGGCAAAATCATTAATTATTTAGAAAAATTGTCAAAAACAATCTAGATATTTGTTACTGCGTCCAATGTTGGGTATTTTGGTTCTTGACAAATCGTCAAAATTTCAGATCGATCCATTAGATAAAAGTATGGAAAAAGGCGAAAAAATCGTTCTCATACGGCTTAATGGTTACATAAACAAGCTTATGCTATACAGAAAAATATTTAAAAACTGTATCTATTGTGAAACAACTGTGTATTATATAATATTAGATAATAGTTCACAAGTGAATTTTTAAAGCAATTAAAGATATAGTTATAAGTTTTTCCATTCGTAAGATTGTTATGACTGAAATGTTCTGGAAATTCATACAAGAATTATTAAATATGTATAGGGTTTCTATAATCAATATCAGCGTTGGCTGCAAGAGAATGAAAAAATTTAAGGCTACGGAAATCAATATTTTTAATTATTTACGATTAGGCTGGTATTTAGAAGAAAAATTGTCCCTAACGTCTACTTTATTATCATTATAGCAACAAAATAAGTGGACAATCGAATGATAATGCGCCATCAATTCATTTTTCTTCCATTATTTCTAGATCACCTCTTAGCACCTCTCTTATATCGTACATGTTTTTCATTTCTTATTAAATTTTCTAGTACTCCCGGTCCCTATTATAAGATTATCTAACTAAACTATTCAGATATTATCTCTTTCGACACTCCTTATACCCACCAGGAACGTCGGAGACAAAGTTTTCTTTATTTTTGTTCTATCAGTCTCTTCAATCCTTCGACGTTATTATATCTGTTGATGTGTTTCTTCTTTTTCTTTCCTCTCATACCTGTAATCTTTCCTTTTTTTCCTAGGTATTTCCTTTTTTTTTAGATCTTTTCCTAGGTATTTCCTTTCTTCTTCTGAAATATTCGATCAACTGCTTTGTTATGTTTCTTTGTTTGCCCTTTTTCAATATCTTCATTTTCCCCGCTATTTTTAACTGCTTGATTTCCTATGTTATTCATTCATATTTCACTCGCATAATATATTAATGTTGATAAAGATATTTCATTATATACTGGTTATAAATATTACCGAACTGAGGCCCTCATTTTTTTTTCCGCCTCTCTTTATGGTAAATGGTGACGATCTCTTCTCGTTTATTTGTACTACTCCAGTGATTCTGATATGTGATATATACTGTTTTTATTAGGCTTTGGGGATTTATAAACTTTCCATTATTTCTCTATCATGGAATCAAATGCATTTCTAATATCTATAAACCTGAATGTACGTTTTCTTCCGTTCCATATTGCCAAGTATATTGTTCAATATGTAAATGTTATCCTGTTGTTCCTATTTGTGTCCTTGTAGCTTGTTATTCTTTAAACTTACTTCTAATTATTTTTCTATTATCACAACAGTATATATTTTAAATATTACTTATAATAAGTATATTATAATAAATAAAATTAAATATAATAAAACATATTGTTTCAGCATTTCAATTTGTTTAGGTTTTTCTGTTTGGTAGGACCCGAATGAAGATCCTGATCATTGTCATTAGCAAATATTAACATTCCAAACAACAATTTAATCATAAATTTGAAGTATGCTAATTTGTGTAGTCGACATTTCGAAATACTCCAAGGCTTGGGGTTCCCTTGACAAAAATTTAAGTCCTGGGGCAATAACGACGTAAATTTAGAAGCCTCTAGAATTTACCGTACATTAATAAAATCGTGTCTGTGCAAGGTTAGTATTATTTAGGTGAAATTAATTAATCTTCGGTACATTCTACGCGGTCAGATTGCCACGCGGGCCAGGCAGACGAAACGCATTCACTGCATTGTGAATGATCTAGTGGATCGACGGTTCAAATCCTGGCCAAAAACAAAACAGCTACAGTAACGAATATTTTAATGGTTCTGCTACTTAGACTAGAGTTTGGGATCGACCTATGGA